TTAGAGAGAGTGTCATAGGCTTATGTACCTGAATTTGAAATTTACAAGTTTAAATCTGAGGTCACGCTATTTGTCATTTATGCCTAATGTTATATGTCCAGTTAAATTTTAGCCCAGCTTTGATTAGCCTGCTAATTCTCAAATGAAGTATTAGGAGATATGTAGATACACAGATTAATATCTAAATACGAAAAGGGAAATAATTGCCTGGAAATTGCACTTCTTTATTAACAGTGGTTTCAATTTTGGGCTTATGACTGCGTGGGCCACGAATAGGCCCAGCGCCTGCCCAGACCCATCTGGGGCTGCCCGTATCATTTGGACTGGGCTCATTTGAGCCCCAATCGGACGATTCCCTGAAAATGAACTACCCAGCTTATGCGACTGAACTGCTTCATGTCTGGGCCAATTTTTTGGCCCAAAAATTGTTAGAAGTTGAAAACTCCTTTAAGAATTACATTAGGGATATGGGGTATTAATTTGCAATATAAATTTAGGTTTTCAAGTTAGGTAGCGGGTTCAAACTAAGAGGGTCCTCCTTTTGTTTGAATTCGGACTTGAACTTGAGGCCCGAATTTATAAATGCAAATTAATTAGGCCCTTTTAGAGACAAAATAAATAGAAAAATCATAGTTTGCTTTAGGTTGCCCTTTAAATGAGCCTCGCCAAACAAAAATGCTTAATTAAAAATGCTTAGAATTTCGGGACGTGCCATTTAGCGAATTTTCATGACCTCCCGCAAAGTTAATCACACGTTAGTCACTTTAAGTGCGTTCTTTAATAATCTTACCTTCCTAAACTCGGGTGCGCATTTCATGCAACCCAAATCCAAATCCCAAAACGTTGAATAAGAGGTGTTGAGGATCCGGGTGCATTTCATGTGACGTGATCCAATAACACGCTCTTAAACGGCGTTCACTTTCGTAAAAAACAAAATAAACTAAAAGCGGTAAATAATCTTAAAATTGCACTATAGGTTTAAATATGTATAAAAACCAGATTTTAGCCATTTATAATAATTTAAGCGACCGTGCTAGAACCACGGGATCCGGGGGTGCCTAACACCTTCCCTCGGGTCAACAGAATTCCTTACACAGAATTTCTGGTTCGCAGACTCCAATTGGGGAGTCGAAATTTTCCTCGATTTGGGATTTAAATTAAATCGGTGACTTGGGACACCAAAAGCCAATCCTATCCCAAGTGGCGACTCTAAAAATAAATAAATGATCCCATTTCGAATAATGTCACTTTAAATGGAAAAACTCCCTTATACATTTATCATTCGAGATAGGTGTGTAAAAAGGAGGTGTGACAGCCGCAGCTGCAGAGGAAGTGCCGCAGAAGTGGATGCACGGGAACGGCCAAGGAGTCCGCAAATGCGGGAGTCGCTGGGCAGAATGCTTAAAAGAGGGGGGCTCAGCCATTTTTGCCATTTCTCTTCATTCTTGGACGATTTTTGGAGCTTCTTGAGGGGAGTATTCACCTAGCAACTTGGAGGTAAGTTAATTCCACCTATTGCAAGTTAAATACTTGGTTTATCTAGGGATTTTAACATGGTAATTCATGGAAAATTTGTGAAAATTTGAGGTTTTGATGAAAAACCTAGAAATTGGTATTTTTGGATTTGACCACGAAATCGGACATGGAATTGAGAATAAATTATATATTTGACTTCGTAATATTATGATTAATGGTTATCTTCAAAAAAATTCGGAATACGGGCGCGTGGGCCCGAGGATTGCTTTATCGACTTTTCGAGCGGAGTTGAGAATTTTTCTAAATTGAATTGGTAAGAGTATTAGAGTATATTTTTATTAGTTTGCATATTGTTTGACTAGTTTTGGAACGGCGGGCATCGGTTTGAGGTGTTAGAGAGGCTTTGGAGCCGGTTATGGAACTTCAGAGCGAGGTAAGTCTCATGTCTAACTATGTGAGGGAGAAACTACCCTCTAGATGTTGTAATTGATGTTTGCTACTTATTGCAGGGGCTACATACACACGAGGTGACGAGAGTCCGTACGTAGCTAGTTTCATGTTACTGTCCAGGTAGATTTAAGATCACACCATGTTGTACTTGTATTATAGGGGTTATCCTTGCTCGTTTAATTCCTTTACTTCGCATTACGACTTGAGACTAGACATGCGTAGAGTGATAGACTCGCTATTGTAGAGATTTCACGAGTTTCATGATTTGCCGTGGAATAATGGGGTTCCTCTTACGGATTTCTCATGCACCATGTGTTTTCATTGAAAGGTTTTCCTTAAAAATTACAATAACTCACACGTTTATTCGTGAGTGATGGTCAAGGACCCGTTTAAGCTTCCTATTCTAATGGGATCGGGCTGTTCGTCTCGCCAAGATTTATGTACCACACTCTCATGGGAGCGGGCCGTTCGCTTCGGCAGTTTAGTATATACATTTATGGTTCATGTCATTCGACCCTCGGCAATGTACAAATTATGATGGGATCGGGTCGTACGCCTTGGCATTTCTATAAAACATCCTCATGAAATCATGCGTAATATTTGGCAAGAAGCCAGTGTATATGTGAGTTTTCCCTGACTTGAATTATAACGACCTATTTGGCGAGATCCATTATATATATATACCTATATATGCTCCGGTTGAGGAGGAATCTACTAATTGAGAGCTTGAGTTTATTGTAAGAGGAGAGTTGCACCAGGATTTATATTTGTTTATTTCATTTATTCACTCTGCCTCATATTTGTTTACGTCTTTACTACCTGACATTACCAATAGTAAGTGTCGATATCGACCCCCCATCACTACTCCTCCGGGGTTAGGCTAGATACTTACTGGGTACACATTGATTTATGTACTCATACTACACTTGCTGCACATTTTTGTGTAGGTACATTTATGTCTAATGGTCCTTTGGGCACGGAGGCGCGGATGATGCGGGGACTTGCCGTGAGCTGCATTTCATGTTACGATCCGCAGCCAGCAGAGTCTCCTTCAGAGTTATTTATATTTTTCCTGTCTACTTTGTATTCCGGACAGATGTTGTATTTTATTTTATTTTTTAGTTGATGCCCATGCACTTATGACATCGGGTTTTGGGGGTTCTTACGAGTTATTCATTAATATAGTTGCGAAAATATTTTCATTCACATTTGTAAATCCCATTTTGCACTATGTAATTAATGAAAATTATAATTTCAAAAATACTAAAATGAAGGCGAAATACATAAAGCGCCCTTTTAAGTTGTCCACAACGATCAACCAAACACCTCAACTGACCCCTTTATCATTTAGACACTTCAAGTGTCTATTAAGTAGATCAAATAAATACCCGAATGCAGCACATCATATGCGTGAGTTACACTTGCCAATGACGTGAAAAACGAGCCAATTAGTAAATGACACATGTAATTTGATACATATAATTAATAAAAGAAAAAAAGAAAATACATTTAAAAAGAAAAACCCCATTCCTTACTTTTCACCAAACCAACGCACTCAACCCCCCCCTCCCCCACCCCCACCCCCCACCATCTTCTTCCTTCTGTCATCCACTTTTCCCAAACCATTCACCCTCTTTCCAAGTTTTTCCCGTCAACCCCTTTCCCTACCTCTTCCATATTCAAAACTTAAATCTAAAATATTTCCACAAAATACAAATAAGAAATAGCTAAATAGAGAACCCACTAAGGTATCATCGACAGGCCTTGCCGGAAAAAGCTCCTCTCATGCAACCCTCGCCGGAAAATTGATCTCCGATCGAAGCTGAAACAAATGGTTCTACCGGAATCTTCAGCCTTTTCTTTCCATTATTTTCTTGACTATAAATTTGGACTTATATCACTTTTGTTTCTCTAATTAGTTATTTTTGGTATAAAATTATCCTTTGATTTATCGTCTGATTCAAATAATAGGTTCTTGTTTGTGTGTTCTATTGGAAGGAAGGTGTTGTTGGATGAAAGAGGACATTTTTCGCAGCTATTGTTGCTGCATTTTTCTCCTTCTTTCAGTTGGGCTTGGGATTGGTTTTGGATCGACAAAACTAGGCAGAGCTTTGGAGGTTTCAGGAAGTGGAGTTTTGTGGTGAAAGGTGGCAGTTTAAGGTGATTTACAGTGGCTTTATTGGAGCTTTAGTGGTTGATTTTCATGGCCTCTATGGTGGTGTCATGGTGAATTACAGGTGGTGAGATGGTTTAGCCACAAAGAAGAGAGACTAAGCTGCAGATGTTTCTCGGGTTTTTTTTTAAGGAAAAAAAATTAAGGTGAAAAAATGTATTCACGCGCTCAAAATTTTATTTGCAAACACGAATATGCCATATCAGCAATATGTGTTTACTTGATCTACTTAATAGACACTTGAAGTGTCTAAATGATAAAGGACTCAGTTGAGGCGTTTAGTTGATCGTTGTGGACAACTTAAAGGGACGCTTTATGTATTTCGCCTAAAATGAATAATTAAGATAATCATTCACTGTTGGCTTGCCTGACGGCGGTGTTAGGTGCCATCACGACCTTTAATGGATTTTGGGTTGTGACATATTACTAGTGTTCAAAACAAGTGATTAAACAAGAGAATTTAATTGCAGTCTCTCGTTTGGCGAAGATGTTTTCTCAAGAAAAAATATTGTTATTAATTTACTGTCGAGGTTTGGGGATCAAGCTTTAAAAACATAAAAATTCTAGTAAAGAGCTCTTCTACCTTTAATAAATCTTACGCAACGCGAGATCAAATTAATTAGTGGAACTTCAAAACAAAAAGGTGACATGAGAAAAAAGAGATTTTAATTGCAGTTTCTCATATAGTAGACATATTTTTCAAGAAAAATATTTTAATCAGTTCACCATAACGAGATATTACAAAATAATTTTACCAAGAAACACTTGGCGCGCGATAATATGGTTAGTTCCATTTTGCCCAGCACCACTGGAATTAGCGTTAACTTCTGTTGTCTCTCAACTTATTACTACAAAAGAAAAGAAAAAAAAGGTAAAGAAATATCACCCACAAATATTTTTATTGTTTATTCTCAAAATCCAAACTACCAGCATCATCACCAACTTTACAAAAGAGCCATTTTTGTGGTTCTTTTTTGAAGGATTCAAGAGTGTGATTCTTTATAGATAAAATATTTTGCATACATATGTATGTAAAGTTTGTTTGTCGTATAAACGTGCCTTTAATGTCCCTTTCTCTTAACTTCTAGCACTTTTCTCCACCTTGTTCCAATTTGTTGGAAATTAATTTACAGATTGATCATTTATGAGGTTCATTGATTTGTAAGGAGAAAAAAAACAAGGGGAAACTTTTTTTAGCCCAGGTAAATATATTTCCCGTTTCTTTTTATGAATTTGGCAATCTTTTTACGTGTAATAAATAAATATTATAGTATATAGATGAAAAAGAGACCAAAATTTCAAATTTTTTTTTTGGTGGGGGAAGTTAAGAAATGAAAACAAATGCCTTCTTTCTTCATACTCAAAGAATGCTAATGCTAATGCATGGTTTTGTTATTGTTGTTATCAGGGCTTGATTTTTGCTCAAAAAAGTTGAGAATGAAATTGAAAGATTTTGCCTTTGATGAATCTAGAGATGTATGATTCTCACATTTGGCTTCAGATTGATAGAGTTTCCCTTTTGGTTTCTGAATCTCTCTTGGTGTCTAAAAATTTGATTGTTGATTTGGGTGTTTGAGGGAAAGAAAATAAGGGATTTTTCATGAAGATTAGCATATGCCAGGGTCCTTAATTTGTCCTAAAAATAAATTATTGAGTAGTTGAAAGAAATGATCCAAATGGAGTAGAACGGTTATTGAGGATACATATAGACGACCTGAATAATTTGGAATTGAGACGTAGTTCTTGTTGTTGCATTGGCTTAACGCATATTGAGGATTCATATAGCTGATTCCAACTAATTTGGAGTTGAGACGTTGCTGTTGTTGTTGTAAAGACAAAAGAGTGGTGAAAGGGGAATTTTTGGCAATTGTATAGGATGGAAGCGCCGGCACCTAAGCCGGTGGCGCCCCGGAAGAAGATGACAAAACAATTAACAGGGAAAAGGGATGACAGTTCCATGCATGCAGCAGCTAGAGCTGGAAATATTGTTGCAATAAGAGAGATTCTTGTAAAGACTGAGGAGGAAGAATTGGCAGAGTTGATAATAAAGCAAAATTCAGCTGGGGAAACTGCATTATATGTTGCAGCAGAATATGGTTATTATCAGTTGGTTAGGGAGATGATCTATTACTATGATCTTGTTGCTGCTGGAATAAAAGCGAGGAACGGCTATGATGCTTTGCACATTGCTGCCAAACAAGGAGATTTAGGTATGTTGATGTTCGTATGAGCTCTTATCGTTCCCTAACTAGTTTGGAACTGAGACACGGTTGTTATTGGTATTGTCGTTGTCATTGTTGTTGATGTAAGTATGAATTACTCCGGCTTGCTTTTCCATTTTCTGATGTCTAGTTCAGGTGATTTTAAGGAATTGTCTTTGTATTATTCATGTCAATTATGAAGTTGAATTTGTAATTTTGCAGATGTGGTGAAGGTATTGATGGAAGCACATCCAGAGCTCTCAATGACCGTCGATGTTTCAAATACTACAGCTTTGCATACAGCAGCAAACCAAGGGCATATAGAGGTGGTGAATTATCTATTGGAGGCAGAGAGCAGTTTAGCCACCATAGCTAAAAGTAATGGAAAAACGGCGTTGCACTCTGCTGCAAGAAATGGACATGTGCAGGTTTTGAAGGCGCTATTGAGTAAAGAGCCAGGGATTGCAACTAGGATGGATAAAAAGGGACAGACTGCACTTCACATGGCCGTCAAAGGACAAAATCTTGAGGTTGTGGAGGAGCTGATTAGAGCTGATCCTTCTTTGATAAATATGGTTGACAACAAGGGCAATACTGCCTTGCATATTGCTGCTCGGAAAGGCAGGGATCAGGTAATTTCTTTTTTTCTTATACAACAACAACTACTATTATTACGTACGCCTCAATGCCAAGAAAGTTTGGGCCGGCTAAATAAATCTTTATCATCCATTTAAGCTCATCTTAGTCCAATACATGTCCTTTGTCTAATACGCGACATTTTTGCTTTGAAACTTTAGCTGCTCTCCTGATGTTTCAGTTGTAGACTACTCTTTGTTTATCAATCTAAGACATGGATCTATTTTCTTTTATTTAGTGTCTAGAAAATTTTGTTTCTTTGACTTTTTTGTTCATCTTTTGCTCTCTTGTTACTTAAGAGATCCCAATAACTCTTCCTCAGAATTTATGTAGTGGGAATTACAGATGTTGAAAAATAACTAGGAGAAAATATAAACGAGATCGATATTGTGGATGCAAGGTTTATTGAAGCGTCTGTTATGCAGAAGGTAAAATTATCACTATGCATAGAAAAGAACACCAGATTACAATCTTTATCCTTAAGCGGAAAATGGAATTGTGTAGCAATAATTTTGAAGCCAAAAAGTGATTTCCTAGCTGAAATGTCATTCAAAAACTCTTAAGGTTTTAACAACCAAAATTCCAAAGAATTTGCTGTTATATTTTTAGCTTATGTAATAAATCGAAAGTCCTTTCAACCCTATTTCTGTCAATAATATATCACTTGCATTGGGATAGATGTCAAAAGAGCCTTGGTTTCTTGGAAAATTATTGAAGCGATTGATTAGGCGCGAGTGGAATATATTGAGAGCTCATTTCGAACTTGTTTTGACATATGCAGATTGTGAAGTTGCTGCTTGTGCAGAATGAAACTGACACTACAGTCGTCAATAGGACCAACGAGACAGCACTCGACACTGCGGAGAAACTGGGACAGGCTGAAATAGTAACCATCTTGCAGGAACATGGTGTTCAAAGTGCTAGATCCATCAAGCCACAGGCAACAAATCCAGCAAGAGAGTTGAAGCAAACTGTAAGTGACATAAAGCACGGGGTGCACTATCAATTGGAAACTACACGCCTAACAAGAAGACGTATACAAGACATCGCCAAGCGTGTGTACAAAATGCATGCAGAAGGCCTTAACAATGCAATCAATTCTACCACAGTTGTCGCGGTTCTCATTGCCACAGTAGCCTTTGGTGCAATCTTTCAAATCAATGGTCAATGGGTCGACGATCCGGATGATATCCCACCTGATCATTCCCTTGGAGAAGCAAATATTGGTCCAAATCCAGCATTTCTGGTTTTCTTCGTCTTTGACTCGATATCCTTATTCATCGCTCTTGCTGTTGTGGTTGTCCAAACAACAATCGTGGTAATAGAAAGCAGAGCGAAGAAGAAGATGATGTCAATTATAAACAAGCTAATGTGGGTGGCATGTTTATTTGTTTCAGTGGCTTATTTGTCTCTATCGTACGTTGTTGTTGGCGACGATAATTTATGGATGCCTATATTAGTGTCCATAATAGGAGCAAGCATAATGGCTACAACTATTGGAACGATGTGTTACTGGGTCGTTATGAATCGGATAAGGTCCTCGAACAAGAGGAGCATTCGAAGGAACTCTTTGGCCAGCAGGTCGCGGTCCTGGTCAGCATCAGTCCTCTCAGATTCAGATGCTCTAAACAATGAATACAAGAAAATATATGCTATATAAACAGTTTTCTGGTGAATCCAGCCCCATATTGTAATTCATTTTTTTCTTTTTTCTTTTTTTGTGGGGTGATGGAAGCCCTTGGCTTTATCTTCATGTGCACACTCAAGTTAAAGGTAGTTCTTTACCTCAAGAAGTATTTGGTTAATCATTTTTGCTCTAAGTGACAGTGACTGAATTGCTCACTATTCAATCTCACTCTGGTATCAGGGGCCGTTGCACCTAGTTGATTCGTACGCTTAGCAATGACAAAAATATGCTAGTGATTTACTGGTATATTTCATCTGCTTAAGTTTTGGTGAGTAGAGTTACTGGGTACATATGGTAATGTGAGGTAATAAGGAAAAAAAGGAAAAAGTTCAGTAGGTTGTGGCTGGTGGGAATGGAACCATTGACCTTACAAAGGTTTTGAACCCCTTTGACCACTAAGCTATACTTTTGGGCTATGTCAAGGGGGTTCAAAACATAATATATAGAGGTAAAAAATAGATTTTGCCTTACATATACCGTGTAATTTTTCGGCGAAGGGGGTTCGGGTGAACACCCTTCCGCCCCCTGAATCCGCCCCTGGTAATAAGTACTGTTGGAAGAATCAATATTTGCGCTCGAACTGATACGGACACCACCATTATCAACTAAAGAAAAATACGACTTGTATAGCATTGTCATGAAATTAGTCTTAGATACGGGTACTTTTCTCGTGTAATTGGCACCAGTAGTAGCATAATGCATCAAATTAGTCTCACATATTGGTTACTTTCTAACTTCAAACAAAATGATATTACAGTTCCAAAGCTTAGAATTTGTCTAATAAATGCAGGAAAAGTTATGTCAAAATTAGGATAAGTGCACTAATTTGTAGGTAAGTTATGTCAAAATATGTCAAAATGCAGGTAAGTGCGAGGGTCTATACGAACCAGGGGTAGGGGTAAGGTTGTGTACATCTTACCCTCTCAGACCCCACTTGTGGGAAACTACTGGTTTGTTGTTGTTGTTGTTGTTGTATTAGCGAGACTAATCTAATCTTACTCAACCTTAAATGGGAATTAGGGCGAAGCCTGGGGCGGTCTCTGCCTTCTTAACACGCGGCACACAAACTTGAAATCTGATTTGAAAATCTCTTTCTACCTTCACAAAACTTTTAGCCAATTCAGTGCTTCATTTGTCTCGGATTGCTTTGCGAGGAACAACGTTTTAAGTTTTACTGTTTTGTTTTCACTGATTATATTATTATGGTGTGAAAAGCAGACAACTCTTCATTCTCCTCGTGTTCTTTAAGTTTTTCCTTCTCTTTTTCTGCTTGTGGTATGAAACATGCGGTTTGCTCATATGTTGGACGTTTCCAAGTACTACTAGTAGTATCAAAATCAACGAGAGCAGAGGCTACAAATTCTATCTTGACAAATTATACTTATGGCCTTAAATTGAAAAGATTCAACTAATAGTAAATCTAAGAGTAGGAACAGATCCCGCATTCAGTAATTTCTGATTTCGTGTGAGAAATGAGAAGAGCATACAATAAGTACTAATTTGGTCCTTCTTTCACAACAATTGGTTGTCAAGCCCAATTGTAATACTTTTATCTTAATAAGAAAATATTTTCATCATTAAATGAAAAATGAAAGTTGTGCAAAGTACATGATAAAGAGAGCTATCTTAGCTAGCAAATATGAGTGTGTTAATTGACGAATGGAGATATTGATTGCCAAGTTCCCTGGTAAAAGCAAAATATTTCTCAATTTCGACTCAAAAAAAAAAAAATACCAATAACTACTATCAGGAAAAATACATAAATACTTTAACACCAAATGGCTAACCACCATAAAGGTTCATTCTCAAGTTCATTATTTCTTATATATGTTAGTATCATGTGTTTATATAACATATAAAGTGAAAATCTATCTTCCATTGCGTACGTACAAGTTGGTTTTGAAGAAAAATACATATATCATGCTATTGAAAAATTTAGATCCGTCAAATGGATTATGTAATGGTACAAAGATGGTATGTAGAGATTTTAACAATGAAGTCATATATGTATAAATCATGATGGATCAATTTTCTTCAAACATGTGTTTATCCTCATAATTCCGTTTTCACCTGTAGAAATGAAGGATATCTTTTTAAATTTATCTGAAAGTAATTACTAGCACAATTGAATTTTGTAATAATAAAAATAAAGCACAAGACTAAACAATCCCAAATGTTACATTGTATTTGTTGCAATATACTTTCTCGCATGAACAACTATATGTTGTACTATTAAAAGAGATATCAATATCGACAACAAGAACCAATAAGAGTTGTATGTATATATATACCAGTCTCTGCGAACGTGCGCTTCACATTATACCCTTGTCTATTATTATATGAAGTATATATATACAACATATTTCTCTTTCGAATTTTTGTTATCTTAAAATTTCTGAGATCGACTTAATATTTTGATTTACTTATTTCTTATTATTTTCCATTGATCTCTTGAAGAATGCATGTTGCATATGCATAAACATGTTAAAACTTTCTTTGAGAAAGGAGGGTGTAAAAAGACAAATGAAATGAAGGTAAAATGAAGAAATAAATCTAAGGTTTAGATAAGTGATTTTGCTAAAATTAGCATCTGAAAGTAAAAATAGTAAACTAAAGTCTTTCAGTTTTTTTATGCTTGTTTTTACCACTTATAGAAGATTAAATTCATTTGACCAATTAAAAAATTATCTTTAAATCCATTATAGGTAAACTTTTCGGATTCTTAATCTGTTATAGTTTGCGAGAGAGGTTCTATATGCGGTGCAGCTAGAAATTTCAATAAGGGAATTCAGAATTTACACATACATCTCTTATGTCAAAAAAAAAATCAAACTTTTATATATGTACAAAAAATTTGTCTTCTATTTGCACAGCATAATTTTTTGGCATAGGAAATCCAATTGAATCATTTGATTACATGTGATTCCGCATTGCCTGTATGAAAAAAGGAGGAAAATCATATTTGTTTCGGAACTCTATGTTTACCCTTAAAATTGGATAACAATTGAATTTGTACGCGATTTTAAGGATACGTGATATAATTTGATACAAATTAGGAAGACAGATTAATATTGAAATTAACGATAAGAAAATAAATGCAAACCACAAAATTGAACAGCCTTAGCTTCTGAGTTTGATCACCCTCGAGCCAAGAAATGCCTCAACTAGTGTTAGAACTGAACAACAAGATTGTAAAAACTAATGTCCGCTACAAATGATCCGAACCCTCCTTTATATAGTGGGGGTGTTCTACTTTTGGTACAATTCTATACAAGGTAAAAATTCTCATGATTTGCTAATTAATCGGCTTTTTCTTGATACGTGCCGAGATTTCCGCCGTGATCCTCCACCGATTGCAGATATTTTGGCTTTCTGTTATTTGGCTCGGTAAGTTTTTCTCGATCTTGATCGGTCTCGATCTTGTTCGGTCTCGATCTTGCTCGGTCTCGACCTTGCTCGATCTCTGGGTCACGAGCTCAACGATCTAACTTTGCGCCTTGGTTCGATATAACCCAGGCTCGAGCTTTGACCTGCCGTGTTTCAGCCCCGATTGGTCAAATAATAGACGAATCCGGTTTGGACCGTATACAGATAGTCCCCTCGTTTTTCGGAGAGATGATGACGAGAAACGATATGAATTTCCGAACCTAGCTCCAATAGATCATGACGTAAGCGACAACAGGTCACTGAAATATCCTGTCGGTCCAATATCCAAGGCATTATATGTGTGTCAGTGTTGTTCGGCCACCACTGGTTTTTAACCGTCATTAGCAAACTATAAATGCCTCAACCCTCATTCATTCAAACTTTATGTTCAAAAAAACTTCTTCTACTCTTATTTTTTAAGAATCTCTTCACTCTCCAACTTTCATGCCCAGAAAAATTGAAACTTTTGCAATCTTCTCCTTTTCTTCATCTCTGTTATAAAATGGCAACAACTTCTAAAACTGTTTTCACAGAAAGGAAAAGCTTCTTCATCACGGCCCGCCGGCGATAGAACTGCGGCGGAGCCACCCTCTGAAGAGTTCGTTCCTGGAGGATGCCCGATAGGTGTTGATTTCAAGATCGAAAATACTTCCTCGGTGCCGGGTCGATGTGAGCCGATCTCGAGATATATACGTACTATCACCGACGATCTCCTCCCCAAGGTCAAAGAGGATTGAAACTGGATCGATAAACATGTGGTGGTGCCCTCGCCTGAGGAATCAATCACTACCCACGTGGAGGGTTTTTTAAGTGTTTACACTTACCCCTTACATTGGGTCCCTTAGACTCGATCATCACTGCCTTCTGCAAAAGGTACGAAGTGATCCTCAGTCAGATTCACCCCTCTTTCTGGAGGATAGTGATTCTTCTTCGTTTTTTCATAAACAAAATCGAGGGATGTGCCTTTACCTTCGATCATCTCATGCGCCTGTACAGTCTTCGATTGTATCGAGGGGGATTAATCAAACTTGCTCGCCAGGATACCAGGGGCCCGTTCTCGAGTATATATGAGGATCGGGACCGAGGATGGATGGGCAAATTCATTCGAGTGAGGACCTTGGACTTGATCCCAGCCGAGGATATGCCATTTCCCGGTAAATGGAATATGAAACGTATTATAACTTCTCCTTAAAGACCTTATTTATTGTTTCCTCCCTTTCCTTCCTTCTTATTGGTGTTTTTGTGATGTAGTTGTGTCTCGGATGCTGGATGCAGTTCCTGAACTCAAAGAGTGGGTCGAGGGCCTGGTGTCACAGAGGCCATATTCCGAGCGCGCATGGCGCGAATTGTCGAAGGGTCGGTAGGAGGCCCGTAATCACGGTAAGTTTCCTTTTCTGATGCAATAATATTTGATTTCCTCCTTGCGCTGTCGAATTCTTATCGGTTCCGTTTTTCCAAAGATATTGCGATGAGGCCTCCGTCCGGTGATGAAGATGTGCCTCTCCAGTCCCCTGCTCCGAGGCAAGATTGATGAAAAGAAGAGAAAAAGGGCCCCGAGTTCCCCAAACTCGTAAAAGAAAAAACCAAAGAAGAGGTCACGCAAGCCCAAGGGAAGCACCGGCGCTCTATCCTCGGACGCAGTCCACCGGTTAAGGGACGAGACCAAATAAGAAGAGGAAGAAGAGAAATCTAGGATGGTGGCCCGTGTGCGGGCTGGTGTCGTGATACAAGGGCCCTCCGAA